ATTATTATTAATTTTTTTTTTTTTTTTTAATGTTATTATTGAAAATTAAGCAGCACAGGAAATCAAAAAGTAAACCAACATTTTCATTTTCTCAAAGTAATACCATCCTTTTATCATATATTAACTTGTCAGTTCATATAATTAACTTGTCAGTTTTTCCTGGAAATATTTTGCATTTTATTTCATTGCATCTTATGTTCATCAAAAAATCAAAAAATTACTTACCTTATACCTTTCTGATGTGTTCCTTGTTTCCTTATATTTTTTTATTTTTTTTATTTTTTTTTAGTCTATTCCTTTCTCATATTACCTTATCATTCTTTTTTAGTTCTTTCTCATGTGACTTTTCCTTTTCTTTTCATTTTTTCTTTCTTATGTAACCTTATCTATTCCTTTTCGTTATCTTTCTTAATTCTCCTGTACTTTTCTTTTCTTTGTCTTTCTTATGCTGCCTTATCTTTCTTTATAAAATTCATACGCGCATGTGAGGCTGTCTCTTATACACATCTAGATGTGTATAAGAGACAGGCTATAAGACAAGCCTCTTGGACAGGTACATTGGTGAATACTGATTTGATGTCGAAGCTCACAAGAGTGTCTGTAGATTTGAGGTAAACATCCCGAATGGTCTTCACAAAGAGACAAGATATCATGTATTGCTGTCTCTTATACACATCTAGATGCTCCACACCAAGATATATAACACTCATCCACACTACAACATTTTCTGATATATGCCCATAAATATTAATGATGTGCCTATATATGTCATGGTGTGATGTCATCATGACCATATTTAGGTACGTCCTATGTTTTGTCAAATCAATAGTCTGGACAGGACTTAAATTTTTTATTTACTTAAAGAGCCCGTGTTGTACAAATTTCAAGATTTCAGATTCAATATGTACACAATTTAGGTAGAAGTCACCGAAGACAATATCGAAGAGGTTGCCAATACACTAGAGGTTTTGACAAGGAACGCAAGTTCCAACGTAGATGGCGCTGAGAATGCTACGATTTACTCATCTCAAGTTCTTAAAAACATCGTCTCAATTAATTCATCATCACCTTCAGTAAGCCTCACCTTCTTATAATTTATATTTATTTATTTTATTTATAAATTTTGTTTTTCAGTTAGATAGATATGTAGGTTTTGTTTTTTTGTCTCCATCACAACAGAGTCAATACAAAGTAAAACGGGGTCTCGATGGGGACTAACATAGAAGAAAAATTTGTCTGAGCTTTCCGGGAAATCGGATTTACAATAACAAGAATTTGGAAAAAGAGATTGTTAGGAAGCTTATTCCATTATTAAATAAGACATTGACGGCTAGCAAAGAATAGAGAAAGAAATGTTTGATTTAGACCTACTTTCGGTTTAATTAGGAAGTTCAAGTTCAATGTTTTGTTGATGTTTTTACAGGTTACAACCACAGTGATCAACAGCGTAAACAATCTTTTGGATATAGTTGGCGATGTTGAAGACTCTGAAGAAATTCGACGTGCCTCGTCGAGCACAATACAGTCGATGGAAGAACAGCTCGCAACGGTCGCGTCTGCTGACTTTAACATCACGGTCAATCGCAAAAACGTTGACGTAACTGTTAGACAACTGGATGTTGATGACGTTGCGTCAAATGGGCTTGTGTATATTTCATTTCAAAACACATCCGAAAAGCCATCACTATTGTTCTCTGAGTCACGCACCAACTTTGTTGACGTTGATACCTTACTAGAACTGCCGTCAGAGGTATTCACTAGTGGACCTACTGTGATAAATGGCGGGAAGGTTTCAGCTATATTCATTATCTATCACCAGACTACGTTGTTTAGAACGAATTATGAAAATAAACAAATTGGCAGCAAAGTTATTTCAGCTAAGATTAATAAGAAGAAGACACGTGACCTAGTAGAGCCGGTAGTAGGAGTTTTCACTCAAACTGTAAGTTATAACATTAATTTAGTTTTTCTACTTCACAAAATGCTTCGTTTATTATAGAATATTTTTTTTTTATCTGGATGACAGAATAACCAGGTATCAATTTACATATTTTGTTGTGTGACTTTGGAGAACTACGTTAACAATAATTAATTTACAAACAAAATGTGAAAATTGTAATTTTAATAATAATAATAATAATAATAATAATAATAATAACGATTTTTAAAGTGCAAACATCACCACCAATTTTAAGTATAATGCGTCAATAAATAATTTAAACAATTAACACATTTGTTTTACAGTCATAACGGATAATAACTAGTTGAACAAATATTTTCAGATGAATGGTACTAATGCAGAGTGTGTGTTTTGGGATTTTCAACTTGCGAATGGCTACGGCAATTGGTCAAATGCGGGTTGCGTGTACAACACAACAAAAGACAGACGGGTCATTTGTCATTGTGATCATCTAACTAATTTTGCTGTTTTGACGGTAGGTATAGAACTATGTACATACATAAATATCACGGTCAGTCGCAAAAATGTAGACATAACCGTTAGAGAGCTGGATCTTGATGAAAATTTTCAGCTATATTCACTAACCGTTAGACAACTGGATGTTGATGACGTTATGTTGACAATTACTGAATAAATGTACTTTTGAACTTTGAAATTTTATTTGCGAAATTTTCGGCACTCCAGTTACCTTCGTCAGCGCTTGGGTATCTTGCTATGAGAAACTTAACAGATTTAATATAATGTCTATACAATAGGTGACTAGCGCCAGGTCTACATCTACAATAGAGGACATGGCACAGTAGCAAATTGGCATAAATCAATGGCTGGTCGGTGTGACATAACATGTGAATGGTTAAAAAGACAATAGACCTATTAACATTAAATAAAATGTACAGTAGCCAGCCTACTGGCTACTGTACATTTTATTTTATTTTATTATTTTATTTTTATAAAAATGAAAATGATTCTGTCTCCTACAAGTCAATGTATCGTAGCAGTTTATTGTGTCTGCGCATACTTATTATTTATTCTTGCGATGAGACATACGTGGATCCACATCAACAACATCGATTGATTACCACTTGACTCTGTCTCACGTAGCAAAGGAAGGCGATTAGGGGCTACCACTGACGAACGAATTTATATGACGAACACGACAAAGGGTTTGCTGAAAATTGAGACTGACTATAATCTGTCTCTATGTATATAGGCCTATATATATATAGGCTTATATATATGTATACATATATACATTACCGTTATAGTGTAACTACGTCATATTTTTTTACATTTACAATTAAGAGGGTACTGTAGTTAAATAATTGTGCCGAATCGCAGCATAATCATAGAAGCCTTTGGACAACGCTTTGAGACTTCACACGCTTTTTAGTAAATGATGTCTAAATCCGATTCTAAGCTTGTGTTCGATTTGCTATGTTGCTAACATAAAGACCCGACACTGGCTAAACTGCTAAACAGTAGGAAGATTTCTCAACCTCACGAAAACGATAACAAATACAAATACATCATTATCATTATCGTCATTCGTACCTAAATCATTCTTGACAAAGGCATGAATCCCTACGTTGTGACAGATGGGGAAGGGTTGTATACAAATGTTGAAATGAAATAAATAAATATAAAGATGTATCCGTATTCGTTTATCTTTTTCGTAAGCTTGCGAAAAATCCCTGTTATTGCCTATTACCGGGTTACTGCCTGTGACCGGATGGACGTGTCATTTTTGTACACTAATTTTCCATGTGAAACTTTAAAACTAAAACATAACTTACTTTCCATTTTCTTAGGACTACCATGGTCAGATTGGCTTGAGCCAAGAGACAAGATATCATGTATTGTCCATCATAAGCTTAGTTGGCTGTATTGTATCTGTGTTAGCTCTGGTGTTAACAATCATCATTCAGACGTATTCAATGCATACAATGCCACGATCAAGGTAAGAATAACTGTTTTTCGTCCGAGTTGTTCTAAGTGGCAGTGTGAAATTTATTTACAAAGAAAGAACATCAACTCGGTCGCATGATATCTAGGCCAGGCACACATAGGCCTACATACCCAATGTCACTCACTGCGGCAGGCGGTCGTCGGCCGACGCGTTCATACTGCCACCGACAATCAGCTTACGACTTCACGTCGTCTAATTCTCACAGGGATCCAGTGGCGTATCTAGCAGTATCAAAATTGGGGGGGGGGGCTGGTGGGAGTGCGCGGCCAAAATATGAGGGGGGCGTGGAATTTATTTTCGGTGGCCACGCCCACTGAAAAATATTGCTTCTTAGATTCCCGAATACACATTAACCGTGACAGCATAAGCATAAGCCTAGCCTAATTTTTTTTTGCTTCGAAGTTTTCGAATGGGGTGGGGGACGCCTGGGGGCCGCAAGCCCCCTCCCCCCTTTGGATACGCCACTGCAGGGATCGGAGTTGGATTCGTTGGCCGACGAACGTCACTCACTGCTTTATAGGCCTATAGACTTATCTTGACACTTTACTTTCATTATTTTTCAGGGAACAGCACACAATCCGTCCTAAATTAGTTTTGATTAACTTATCCATTGCATTGTGTCTTCTCTACCTTGTCTTCGCCGTCGGCATTGAACAGACAAAGAATAAACATACGTGCATCGTCATATCTGTAGTTCTGCATTATTTTACCATTTCTTCAATGGCGTGGATGACAGTACAAGCAGTGAATATCTATCTATCATTGGTGAAGGTTTTTCCGACGTATATCTCTAAATTTAGGATGAAAGCATACACATTCGGATGGGGTATGTATAGATTTTGGTCAATAAACTATCTTAGCAACATTATAAGTGAGGGATAGAGATTATAATAATAATAATAATAATAATAATAATAATAATAATAATAATAATAATTATTATTATTATTATTATTATTATTATTATTATTGGTATCATCAGGACTCTCAAGATCATCATGAGCATTATCATGATGATCGTAATCATCTTCCACATCACATCATCATCACTTACATTATCCACCTACACCAGCAGCAGCACCACCACCACCACCACCATCATTTTATGACGATCCCTATCGGTTAATTTCCCGTCGATTTATAATAATAATAATAAAATAATAATAATAATAATAATAATAATAATAATAATAATCAAGATTTATAACAACAACAATAATGACAATAACAATAATAATAATAATAATAATAATAATAACAACAACAATAACAATAATAATAATAAAAGATTTATAAAGCGCACATCTCCACCAAAGGTGTTCAAGGCGCATAGACAATTAAACCAACAAGATCCAAATAATTCCCAGAAGAACTTTCAGCAAAATCCAAATACCAATTATCCCATCGAGTTGCTCCCCATATAAGTCATATGCAGATACCCAAAGGCAGTATGTTGAGCATCAGCACCTCCCACCCCAGGATAAGCCCGGGGCTCCACTACCTGGGGAGGGACAACTTGATTTCCTGCTCCACAACAAGTCATTCATTAGAAGCCTTTATGAAGAAAGCCTACGTTTTTAGATGTGTTATAAAACGAATGAATGTTTTGTATTCGTCTAATAGGGATATTATTTTCGTTCGTTAAAAGATTGAATGTTCCACTCAACTTTGCTCTGCCTCGTTGCATGGAGCAGTCAGTTTTCCAACTCATGAAAATATTCTTTCATTGCATTTATAATAATATTCATATTGTATAATATATTATGAAATTTATTTGTATCCGTAGGATTTCCACTCATTCCTGTCACCATGTCGTTAATTCTCGACGTAAACAGTTATACCAATAAACACTAGTAAGTATTATCCTTTACCCTGGCCATATCATTTATTTTAAAATTATAATACTGTAATCAGAAAAAACATATAAGACTGTATTCATCATAATGATATGAATATTTAAAATTTAAATTACGTCATCAAACCGGCAATCTCCATGGGCGGATCCAGAGTTTTTCAAAAGGGAAGGGAAGGGGGAACAACGTATTCAGCAGAATAGATAATTGAGAGCGCTAATTTCAATATATGCCTTGAATTTTAAATTTAGTTGCAAACCGGGGTGGGGCCCCCTCCCCGAGATTCTCATTTGTCAGGCCCCCTCCCCGAGATTCTCATTTGTCATGTGGTATGTTTGGACGCATCTGGGAGTTTCATAAACTGTTCAACAAGGATGTGATGTGATCCTAATTTTTCTTTCTTTTTTTTTCCTCCAAAAATAAAAGTTGTTTCTTGAAACCTGGAGCAGTTTTATATTACGGAAACATATCGGTAGTTGGCGTCCTATTTCTCACAAACATTGTCATCTTTATTCTCGTCATACGCGTACTGATGTGTTGTTCACGTCAGCGAATACAAAGAATTACTGAACCGAAAAGTAAATTTAAACATGTGAAAGATCAGTTATCTACCGCTATTGGCCTGTCAATTTTGCTCGGACTTACATGGATATTTGGATTTGGCGCAATAGAGAGATCATCCAGTTCACACCTGACGTTCTCGATGCAACTTCTCTTTTGCATTTTTAATTCTCTTCAAGGATGGTTTATATTTGTGTTTTACGCTGTGCGTACTGGTGATTTTAAAACCTGTATGTGTTCATTTATTCATATTTCAAAACCACCACTTGACTCTATCTCACATAGCAAAGGAAGGCGATTAGGGGCTACCACTGACGAACGAATTTATATGACGAACACGACAAAGGGTTTGCTGAAAATTGAGACTGACTATAATTGGTCAAGCATATGACAATTTCTCGACTGTAGAATAATATTAATGTGGTTCTCTATGACGCCATCATTAATTTGAGTCAGTTAAAACCTTTCTTGTTTCTTGGTTAGCTGTATGAAGAAATTTAGATATATAACCTCCGCACTATCTAATTTTTTTCTTATTTTTAATTGAAAGCTTATACTGTTACTTCTTAAAGTGGCAAACATATCTTTTTAAGTTGTTTAGATATTAATGCCGGCAGTGCTAACATTCCATTATGTAAATTTTTAAAAATGTGAAAATGTGGATACTTAGATTGAATGTTATATTTGAGAAGGCATAAAAGAGTTTATAGAAGTGTTTTAACTGCATAAACCATCTATAAAAATGTAATCTACAATACATTAGTTACTTGGTTCATTCATAACTTCAAGATACAACGTATATTTAAAATTAGCTATCAATCTACAGAATCAATACATACAACAAGACCAGAGTACTCTGGGAATATATCATTAATAGCCTTACTACAATTCCCCCCTCCGTGTTTTAAATATTCATGAGTTTTTCGTCTAACACCCCTGTAATGAAAGTTGCTGCAATTCAATTCAACTTTTAGTTAGCCCTTTTTATACAGTAGTGTATATCTAGATCGATGTATATAGGAAGTATGGCCACATGAGCCAGTGATAGATGATGACAGGATACCCACCCGTACCCATCTTCTCCCAATGGAAGGGGTTCTACGCGCGGGTGCAGTTGAAAAGCCTCGCTAGGAACACAAGAATTTAAGCCCTATCACTACTACCAGAAGGACCCCACTGGAAGTAGGTCTTATTTAGACTTTTATGGGTTTACAATCGAATAATTCCATCCATCCATCCATTTTTAGAGCAGCTTAGCTCAGTCGGCAAAGCTGGTGGCAGCCACTGTGTGTGCGCTGAACCGTGGAGATCTCCAGGTCCCTGGTTCAATTCCCATCGATGCTTCTCCTTGTATTTCGGCTGGAGGGCTGAAATACAAGTTACAATAGCGCACCGTCTTTCGGATGAGACGTTTAAGCTGTTGGTCCCGTGCGCAATGATGGCCCATGTGCACGTTAAATAAAGAACGCAGTAAACTCTTCGGAAAAGAGTAGGAGATTGTCTCCCGGTGTACTGCCTAATCACCACCAGAAGGACCCCACTGGAAATAAGTCTTCTTCTAGACTTTCGTGGGCTATCCTTGGTGTTTATACCGAATAAAATTCAATCCAATTTGTTCCTCGGGAGCATGGATTTGAAAGGACCTGTTTCCAACTTGCTTATTTCATAGCCAAATTTGGTGTTACTTTTGTTTATTGTTCTTTATTATTACTATTTTAAGGATTACCAAGATGAGAGAGAGCTTTCGGATACGGTATATTTTGTTTTTGTATTGTCATGTTTTACTGCGTTATCTAATAGAAATTAAAGCCGGGCACTCTCATTGCGTCGTACGACCGTCCACGACGAATCCAACTACGCTCCCGGTGAGCGATAGCAAAGATAATACAGTAAATAGCAGAAGTACTAGTAGAGCAGCTTCCCAATAAAGTGGAACATCCGTTCAAAAGGCATTGCGAGTACACCCCATCCGCGCGGCGGCGCTATAATAGTAATAATAACAGATCCGCTCTGGTTGGTTTGTTTTCTCCACTTAGTAAAATATTCAAATTTTACCCATTCGGTGGCAGCCTAAAAATCGATCCGTTGCGCGCGCATCGTTGCGTTGCGTTCTCTATAGAATCACGTGGGTGCCCGGCTTAAGAATGCTGAAATTTAGCGCCTTTATTAGTAAAAGCAAAAATAGGAAAAAAAAAAAAAATGCAAGATAAATAACATAAACAAATATATTTGTCCTGTTTCATTTATACAACTTAAAACTGTTCTCTAATTATGTCGAGCTTTCAATTTCTCAACAAAAATCAACATCAGAACATGCTGGCAGTACAGTAATAAAGTCACGTCATACACCCCCGTCATACACTAACAAGGCGTGTAATTCCCCTTTAAACTTTATACAATTCTGTCCGTCCTTTACTTGAGTACAGTGTGCGTAGTACACGTATCATGGTTACATATAGATAAGCTAGTGTATAGATGAGTACAAGGAATTCGATCCAACTCGGCCACAAGTCAACTCGGCCACAGTCAAGTCGGCCACAAGTCAACTCGGCCACAAGTTAACTCGGCCACAAGTCAACTCGGCCACAAAAAGTTTGGCTACAGTCAACTCGGCCACAAGTAAACTCGGCCACAAGTCATTTACTGGTACTACATTGTACTAATTGTTATTATTATTGCTGTTATTATTGTTGTCATTGTTGTTATTATTATTGTTGTTTATATTACCGTTAGTTTTAATATTAATTATTAGTCTTAGCATTAACATTATATATTGTTCAAATTTTTGCTGATATTATTATTACATATATATATAGTACATATATTTATAGTACCATATAAATAATAAATAATTTTCGATTTTTTATTATTATTATTCATATTATTATTATTATTTATTAGTCTTAGTATTATAATTTTAATAACAGTAATTTAAAAAGTTGTTATTGGCGTTTTATTAGTATTTTTCTCATATTATTATTAATATTATTGTTGTTGTTGTTACCTTTATTATCGATATTACTACCCTATTATTACTAAGTAGGCCTAGTATTATAAGTATCATTATATTATTATTATTATATTATTGTATTATTGCTATTATCACCTTCAATATCGTTATTATCACTAATTAGTTATTAAAATTGATATTTAAATATCGTTATTATTACCATACTAGTATTATTACTATTTTTAAAAATAAATATTACTATTAATGTTGTTGTTGTTGTTATTATCACATTTATTATCGTCATCACTAATTAGTATTATTAATGTAAATATTACTAATTTATTGTCGTTATTGTTGTTTAATATTATTGTTGAAGTAGAATGTTGTGAGTAAACAGAAGACGAACACATTAATAAACTCTTTAATTCATAGGCAATAG